GAGAAGAGAAGAGAAGAGAAGAGAAGAGAAGAGAAGAGAAGAGAAGAATCATTTTGTGTAGTGGTTTTTCTTCTAAGCCAGCTGTCTAAGAAACTCCCTCACCTGATGTTCCCCCCTATGGAGGTAGCTGAGACACTTCTGGGGTTGCTCATTTCGCACCACTGGTAGAAATGGCATTTCAGAATTATTACCTTGGTCTTGTCTGACAGAGAAACTCTGTAAAACGAAATACATCTTGAGTATGAACTTCCATGGTCTTGCTGTACTAAAGTGCCCAGGGGCAAAACAAGGCATTTTTCCAAAAGGTAAAAATCTGAGAAGCAGAAAGATAATCCAATTAAAAGACTGTCTTGTAAACTCTCCCTCTCTCCTGGCTCAGGAAGTATTTCCTCCTGTTTGTACATCCCCTGAAAAGTGAAACCATGCTCCTGCAGCCACCGGGAGTGACTTTCTACACGTTCAGCTACTGCTCACTGAAAAGAAGGCACCACTGTTACCTCTGGCAGCCTTTTCACCTGAGTTGCTCTCAGCTCATCCTTGAGTTACCAATGCTGCAGAAAGTCAGACATGACCTTTTTTTCCTTGCAGATAACAGAGAAACGGTGCTGAGTTTCTCCTTTGTGTGTGTGTGCTTGGTAAGAGAGGTCAGTGACTGTAATAAACAGTGACCATATATCTCTATTTCCTCATGTGCATCTGAGGATAACATATTTGCAAAGCTCCCTTGTGTGGAATAGCAGGAAGAAACTGCACCTAGGAGAGAGACTTGGGGCGAGAATTCATGCAAGTCATTGCACTCTCTCTCAGTACTTTTATTCAGGGGTGGAACAAGCTTGAGTTCACTTGCAGCGATGAAATGCCCCATTAATCACTCATGCTTTTGAAAGGGATATGTCAGGCTTGGCTTATACGCCTACATTGGTACCTGATCCTATCTAGACAATGTGAGACAAGTGCCTAACAAAGCAGCTCTAGTTAGTAAGTTGACTTATTTGTTAGTTTGCTAGTTAGATATAAATCAAAGTGTTGTAATAAGCCAATGTAGCAGCGGCTGCAATTTAATTTAGAGGGGAACAACCTCATTTTAGTTTTACTGACAAGAACACAAAAGGTAATATCAATGCTGGAGCCAGCTGAGACCCAGCTAGTTAAAGGCACAACTAGCTAACAGTTTGACTGTGAGGACAAAGAGATCATTATCTCAATGAAAGAAAACCTTAAATAAATCAGTTCTGTACTTTAACAGTTGTTTATTGTCAATGCTGCTACAAGGCACAAATGCATCATGGAGCTATGCTATGATATTTAAAAATCAAGCTACTGATCCATTAAATGAATATCTCTGGTTAAATCCTAAACCAAAGGGTTGCCTCAGCTGTGATTCTGATTGATAATACCTCGAGTGTAATCATTTTTGTGGTAGATTGGCTTCCCAAGTTTTGCTGCAGAAGCCTATTTACAAGCTGACCTTCGAGGCAATGGCACAATCCTCTGTGTAATGGCAGCAATGAACGTTCTTCGGAAGAAACATATTTCTAGCTGGCAGCAGAATGGCTCAGCTCTATTGACTTCCATTCAGCTATGTCTCTTGATATTGGCTGGAGACCAGATCTGTGGTATCTATTTAGGGAAATGAATTTAGAACCAACAAAAATAAATATTTCCAGATGCAGCATTGAGTCAGCATATAGCATTCAGCGCTGCCTGAACGTACTGAGTCAGTCGGTGCAGAGAGATTTTACAAAAAGATGAGTTGTATGACTGTCGATGGCATTTATAGGCACACTTGCTTCCTAATATCTCCTTCCTCCTAAAATATAGGTCACAGAATATCTTTGTGGGTAGAGCAATTACTTGCAAGTCCAAACAGAGAAGATCACAGCATGTGTCACTCTGAAACTAACTAGATTTATGATGAGGTTAGTTGGGATTTTCTGCCATTTGAAACATCAGAAATTTTTGAGGATAGGGCACCGAACTTCTTAAGTGAGTTGAGTTTGCGTAGCAAAATCCAGCACTTTAAGATCCAGGAAAGGAAGAAAGCGGAGCTCTGCCGCAATCCCCTGTAAAATCATTACTGCAGTATTTTCCACTTGTTCTACCTGAACAAGTAACACAGTCAGATGAAAACATATCACTGAGAGACAGACTCTGGTCCTGCAGTCTTCCATCTTCCATATGTAACAGCTTTAGTGTGCTTTAGCAGGATTGCTCACGTACAGCTGCAAAATCCATCACGAACAATCAGAGCTACAGGTACCTGCTCAAATACAATATACTTCAACTCGCAGTGTTTTTGTGGTTCTCACTGCTTTCTGCCCTGTGGGGTGGTTGCATACTATCGACCCAGGGATCCCAAGCTCCAAGTGCTTTAAAAAAAGACTTCAAGATGTTTTCAATGGTGTCCCCACATGATTCTGCCAGATGCAACTATACTGCAGTTGTCACACGAACATTGCAGCACTGGAAGCATCAGTGGATTCCAAGTGGGTGGGTACAGGAGAAGGTATCTGTTTGGCAAGATGTGATCCAACAATCACACGTCTCTCTTTTTCCTGAGGACTGGCTTGCATAAATAAATATATATCAGAGGAAGATATGTTGGGAGTTACTGGACAAAACTTTACCTCGTGGCATCAGTCTTTGTGCTACAATGCAGAGTGAAAAGAACTGGAGCATTTAGTCCAAGATTCAGAGGATGGGCACAGGTGGCAGTTCAGCATGGAGCAGTGTGTGTAGAGTAGCAACAGCCAGTCATGTTTGCATGAACTGCTTCTTGCAGTTACTCAGCTCTGTGGCAGTGCTAATGCTGGCAAAGCAAATTGTGTAGCTCTGGTAGGTAACTTGGTAACTAGCTGCAGA